CCTTTTTGACGAGTTTTGGAGCCCCTTGGCGCGTTCGGTCCGGGGTCGCGCTGGGCGACAAGGGGGGGGGTCGAATTGCCGGTTAGGGGCCCTTGGGCGAGGGTTGTGGGCGGGGGAATCTCGCGCGCCTAGAGACCCACAACGGCGGATTTCGACATGTGCGCGCGAAACCCGTTGTGTAGCATTTGTTCCCAACCATCCTGTGGTGTTGGGTCCTCGTTTTGAAGAGACGGTGGCCCGCGTCTCCTCTCATTCTCTCCTCCTCTTCCCCCTCGTCCTCCCTCCTCCCCCTCTTCCTTGCGTTTCACCCACCCAGTGCAGCGTTTCGTGGCCCCATGGGGAGCTCCACCGAAGGCCCCCAGTGGCTCCGTTCGCATGGCGGCCTCGGGCCATTTCGGCACACCCCTCACAAGGATCGCGGCCCCATAGGGAGCTCCACCGAAGGCCCCAGTGGCTGCGTTCGCATGGTGGCCTCGGGCCATTTCGGCACCTCCCTCGCGAGGATCGTGGCCCCATAGGGAGCTCCATCGAAGGCGCCCAGTGGCTGCGTTCGCATGGCGGCCTCGGGCCATTTCGGCACACCCCTCACGAGGATCGTGGCCCCATAGGGAGCTCCACCGAAGGCGCCCAGTGGCTGCGTTCGCATGGCGGCCTCGGGAAATTTCGGCACACCCCTCACGAGGATCGTGGCCCCATAGGGAGCTCCACCGAAGGCCCCATTGGCTGCGTTCGCATGGCGGCCTCGGGCCATTTCGGCACACCCCTCATGAGGATCGTGGCCCCATGGGGAGCTCCACCGAAGGCGCCCAGTGGCTGCGTTCGCATGGCGGCCTCGGGCCATTTCGGCACCCCTCACGAGGATCGTGGCCCCATAGGGAGCTCCACCGAAGGCCCCAGTGGCTGCGTTCGCATGGCGGCCTCGGGCCATTTCGGCACACCCCCCACGAGGATCGTGGCCCCATAGGGAGCTCCACCGAAGGCGCCCAGTGGCTGCGTTCGCATGGCGGCCTCGGGAAATTTCGGCGCACCCCTCACGAGGATCGTGGCCCCATAGGGAGCTCCACCGAAGGCCCCAGTGGCAGGGTTCGCATGGCGGCCTCGGGCTATTTCGACACACCCCTCACGAGGACCGTGGCCCCATAGGGAGCTCCACCGAAGGCGCCAGTGGCAGGGTTCGCATGGCGGCCCCGGGCCATTGCGGCACATCCCTCACGAGGATCGTGGCCCCATAGTTGTGCTGCTTCAACAACCGCGCCTGGGCGTCGTACTCCGCCTTGTCGACGTGCAACGCCACCTCCTCCCTCATGGCTCTCAAGGCCTTCTCCTGCTTCTGCTCCTCGGTGAGAGGGGCGCCGTCCTTGTCGTTGTCGGCCTCCGCGAAGACGGCCACGAACGCGCCCCTGAGCATGTCGGGCTCCGGCGGAAATCCGTGGCCACATAGGGAGCGCGGGCCAAGATGGCATTCACAAGTGCAGTATTTTCACAACAGCATATGGTTGGGTCCTTCGCCAGGCTAATTTTGAAAGCGTCGGAAACCTGAAGTTTTTTATAAAACAAAAAAAGATAGCGGGAGAGCGCGCGCGGTAGCTTTTTGGGGACATCAGTGTTGCGAAAACCGATTTCACCATCCTGCCGAAACCGAAGGTTCTTGAAGGATTTCGGCATGCGCGCGACGACGCTCGCGCGCGCACATCGTCTCTTTTTTTCTTTTGCAAAGGGTTCTTGGGAACCCATCTCTTTTGATAAACGAGAGCGCGCGCATAGCATTTGTTGCAGAGGATGGCGGGGGGGGGGGGGCGATACCGTTTGGGCTGGGATAGTATGAATTCACTGGTCGGAGGGACATTGGGTCATAATCATCTGCGTTGTACATCGTTTCCTGGGGGTCTTTAGCCCAAGAGGGGGAGGTGGTGGAGCGTATTTGTTATACAAAAAAAGATCTAGGTGGGAACGTCGCTGGACATCCCAGGATTTGTATTAGGTCGGGCGTGTCCTGGGTCCTCGTATAAACGGATTTGGAGAAAAATGCATAATACGCAAACATGTTCAAACATAGCCAACCACATAAGTAGAACATCGCCCACATACTGTTTTGAACATGTATACACATACATGTATGTATGTATGTATGTATGTATGTATGTATGTCTGTGTGCATATATATATATATATATATATACATATATATATATATATGCATACATATATTTATATGTGTATATATATATGAATATGAATATTCCTCCTGTGGTGGGACAGGCCCGACTTAAGATTTGTGTCCAACGATTGCGAAGGCCTGACGGCCGGTGCCGCCGACCCTGAAAGACATCGACGACGATCAGGAGGGGGAGGAGGAAGAGCAAAAGGAGGAGGCGGACATAAGGAGGATGGGGGAGGAGGAGGAGGAGGAGGACAAGGAGAAGAACGAGGAAAAAAAATCCCCCCTGGGACCCCCCCTTGGGGAACCCGACTTACGATTTGCGCCCATCGATTTGTGTGTGTGTGTGTGTGTGTCCTGGCCCCCTCCGCTCCTACCGCCCCCCCAGGCCGTCGCCCCTCGGCGGCGCGCCCCCCGCGTCTTTTTCCTATTAGACCTATGATCATCAAGGCGTGTGTTCGGCCAGTGTGTATTTACCCC